GAGAGAGAGAGAGAGAGAGGGGGAGGGGGGGGGGGGGGGGGGGGGGGGGGAGAGAGAGAGAGAGAGAATGGACTGTGTGAGAACAGCTGAGTTTTTGTGTTGCAGTATGAGACATCTGTATCTTGACATTGGTGTTGCTCACATCGTGTGCCTACTCTAGTTGTGTGTGTGTGTGTGTGTGTGTGTGTGTGTGTGTGAGTCTATTTTCCAACGCCGGCCACCCTGAAGCCCATTCACTCAGACACTGCTCCTCATCGCTCAACCAAACAGCCTCCAGCCAGTCGCTCATGACAAAACAACAGAACAAAACCAAATCAGTAAGCAGCACTGCATTACTGCGCCCAGACATCACACTGAGTTCTAGCTTTTAAAGCCACATGTATATAACCAAAAATGTGGGAGACCTAGTTGGGTGCAAAGAATAGTGCACGACTGATAGAAGAATAGTATATATAGAAATCCAATAAGAATTTTTGACACGTTTCCCTTACTTGATTAATGTAAGCAAAACTAATGACAGCCCAGTGAGTGGTGTGTTAGGTTCACTCAGGTGTAGGAAAGGTTAATGTTGATGTATTGTGATGGGGAGAACTCACAATCTGCCATTGACAGCTTAATTAAATGATGTCTGCCTCAAGCAAAATGCGTGTTGAGCCTTGTCCGAACTCCATAACACAAGCAAATGTAAAACGCTGTGGAAATTAACACACTGCAAGCTGCAAGTTATTACTGCAGCACTATAGCCTCTAGCAGTTATGGTGACTATAAGTAGGCTAGGTACGTCTGAAAAAAAAGGTAGAGATCGCTCACACTGTTGGTAGCACATCTTGCCTCCTGTGCTTACGCTACAGGCCATAACAACCAATCTCAAAACACACATGCTGAATTGCAAACACCTGACACAGTTATACATCAGTACCATGGTTTCCCTGTTGTGTATTTGAAGTATGAGGTCCATGACCAAAACGTCATATCTCTAAAAAACCCTGCATGAGACAACATCAGTGGGAGAACACCCCAGGTTCTCTGAGAGAAGGCCAAACAGTATTTAAAATTTAATTCATTTCATTTAATAATTACTCTCTTCTTCCAATTCTAGTTTTAGTTACATTTGGTATCAAGTTTACTTCAGAAATGAAAAGGTTACTGCCCTAAAACCATGAAAACAGAGTTATCCAATCAATCAATCAAAATAACATCATAACCAGTACAGAAGGCCTGAAGTCCCCATAGCCACATGTGTTTGTTTAGAAAGTGGCATGTGAATTAACCAATCACATTTTGATTTATAGTGGCTTAGACCAAAAATCATTGCCATAGGCTTTCCTGAAGGCTCAAGACCAGGGTTATCTCACAAGGTTTACCTTTTTCTGGCCAGAGGCTTAAGCTAGCAGATCAGAGACTTCAGATGGCAGAGTGATAGGACAGTCGGCAATGGACTTCATATGACAATATTCACTACTTGAAATACTTTAATGAAAAACTCCTTTGATCTGTGGACCCTTGTGGACTAAAGGAATATAAATAATTGAGGAATAAACAGACAAGTGGGCTTCACGACCGCTTCAAAGGTAGAGAGTTGCCACCATTTTGCTGTTTTGCTGCTTTACAATACCTGTAAATCTGAATTTATTCAGCTTTTGTACTCATGGTTTCTGTGAAATGAACTGAACAGTTGATTTGTGGAGAATCTATCTCAGCTAACGATGTGTAGCATGTCAATATGTTTGGTTGAAGGTCTAGCTGTAATACTCATGGTTTGACACTGAACAACACTTAGTTTAAGTGAAATTATCTAAATTAAAATTATCCATCTATCTTATCAAATTCATTGAAGACAATAAACTTATTTATTTAATTCTATCTATACAGCTAAGTCCCACTTTTAGAAATATAGTTAGCTTCTTACAGCTAGTGTTGCCCAAGATATTTGAACAAGGCAGCCAAAAGGTATGCCTGGAGGTTGAACATCAATCACCAGCAGCGCTAAATCCAGGTGTTATAGAGAGACATGAAGTAATGTGCAAACATTTCAGACACTTTAAATGTTTTGATTTTTATCCGTCATGCTATACCATCAGGGAGGCTTCTGATTGGTCCCAAACAGAATGACAACGACTCCAAACATTACAACTAGCCATAAAGAACTAGATCTTTAACAACAAGAACAACAAGGAGTCCTGCAACAGACAATCTGGCCCCCACAGAGCCCTGATCTCCACATCATTGAATCATTCTGGGATGACATGAAGACACTGAGACAGACTGAATCCACATAGAGAACTGTGACTCTGCTTATTTCTACTGCCTTTTTTCTGAATTGGCAGAGAACTGCATTCATGTTAAACGGAAGCTGATTTTCATTGAACCTGCTTTATTAAAACAAAATTGACACATTCTGCCTTCAGGGCTTGTGACAGGTTTACAAAGGGCAAGTGACAAATGTGTCTCTTCTCTCTTTTGTGCTCTGTGTCCTTCCTGAGAGTGACATGACAGGAACAATATCAATCTCATGTCTTTGTATTAATATGGAGCTGGAGCAGTGTTGCACCAGATATTCAAAGATTGAATATAAAGTCCTTCCTGAGGTCCTGCTGGTTTCAAACTAGTGATTTACTAAATCAGGTTGCACCATTAAAATGTTTTCACTAAAAAAAACTTTAGTAAGTTGCAGAAATCTGTCTTGTTTTACTTTTGTTACAAACAATGTTTGCATGAAAAAAATTAATATTCAAATTGAAACAATGATAGTGTAGAAATATTAATAGTATAACATTTTGGCATGTGGGAGCCAAGATACGTTTCTATATGTTTTAGTTCAATGAAGACGTGTAGTCAGTATTTGTTTAATACTTTAGACAAATTAAGTTAAATAAGTTATTCCATTGAATAAGTAGATAAATAGTCATTTGATTTAATTCATGTTATTGTAAGAATAATATTCTATGAAGGCAACAATGTAAACTTTCTTTAGAACAGTGACATAGGTTACTGTCCCTTAAAGAGAAATAGTTTTTTTCTTTTTTAGGATCAGTTGAGGAAAAGGTAATGACGGAGCTGGGTTTCTTACTGTAGTACAGAATGTGGATTAGGAGAAGTTAACTTCAAATACTCTTGTAAGAAGATAGAATACTCTAAAACTAATAAAACTGTTATTTCCTTTTTACATCCAAATCTTGTGGAAGTTTTTCCTCTTCAAGTTAATGTATAGGAGTTAAGCCAAGTCAACTCAACTCTACAGGGAAATGCTTTTTTTTCCTTTTTTTTTTTAACCTTAATTAAAATTGATACCACTCTCATGTCTTTGCTTTAAGTACAGAGTTGGAGTCAGGAATTGGTTAGCCTAAATTAGCCTAGACTAGAGGCAGGGGGAAACAGCTAGCTTGACTTTCTCCAAAGAGAACAAACAAGACCAGGTCAAAACCTAATGCATGGCCAGACTGCTTTGTAGGCTATTTGCGTTCTTCCTGGTGTCAGCTGGTTTCAGCCCCTAATCTCTTTGCTTCTCTCCTACCTTCTGTACTCAGGGTGGAAACTGTTTCTACAGGAGGCCATGGTTACAACTATATGTGCAACAGCATGTGATCAGTCTACAGCAGGACTAAAATACAATGGCAAAGCAAACCTGGAGTGCTTTGTGTTCACAGGTTGAGCGAACAGACTTGAAGTGCACCTTGAGAAGTGGTCTCAGCAAACTAAACTGAGACCTCTTTGAGAGGTGGCCTCAGTTCACTTTGCTTAAAATGCGCTATGGTGGCAACACTGCAGGTTGTAAATGCCCCACTGATAGAAACTGTTTGTGGCAATTCATTTTGAAAGAACAACAGCCAATGGGGAAACTGAACACTGGTGGAACTATGATCACTCACTCAGTCAGCAACATACACAATTATAGAGCTGGCTCCACTGTTGTGGTCCAACCAAAAATGCACCCTCCAACATTTCTATATGTTTAACCTGTACACAGACTATAATGGTATACTATATGTCTACATTTTGGCAAACAAGAATTTATCCATCTGCCCAACATTTCTGTTAATTAACTGTAGAAATATTGGCAGGACTAAAATGAAGTTAGCTCCCACCCTCGGGCTAACTACAGCTTAGCTCCAGCTCCATAGCTCACATGATGACACATGTTGTTAATCTTTTCATCTCACTAACCCTAACAAAGTGCAAGAATGTGTTTCTCAAAATGTTAATGATTCCTTTATGCTATC